AATCAGCAACTTTTTATTTTTGCATGAAATATGTATGGTAACTTGGGGCGGAAGCGCTTGCAAATCCTGCGCCCGGCGACTGCCGAGCGCAGAGCGTGGAAAACAAACAATCAGGACTGTTTCCGGCAGGGTAGTAGCGGCGGGAGTGGGTGGGATTGTTTGCGAGAAAAACAAACAAAGAATGGAATATGAGGAGACCCCGACAGTGTGCCAAGCAAAACGCACGGGTTTGGAGGATATCCGATCCACAACGAGTCAGTTTAGAAACATCCGATCTGCAGCTGTGACTTTGATATGACGATGACGATATAGAATTACAGAATCAGGTAACGTTGGCAATTTCCAAAATACATGGTAACGAGGGTGCAGTACGTACTTTTGCAGCCCACTTAGAGATCATCCAGAAAGTACGTCCGTCATTCGCCGTTACGGACCCTCCAAATTAAGGCAATGCAAGCTCTCATGGCGCCTGATGGGTAGGCAAAATCTTGCATGCCGTGCATGAGTGTATTGCGGGGAGGCCTACCCCGAGTTTTGCAGGCGCCGAGCCTCTGTAGTTTGCAGGATGATTTTAAGAGAAAACGGACGTACTTTCTGGACGATCCCTAATCCCAAAACTTTGGCTCTAGCACTGCGAAATGCAAAGAATAGTATCAGTATTGCAAACGATTTTGCCCACACACTGAAAAACATCTTCGTAAACTTATAACATTTGTTGTAATTTAATATCTTGTAAATTTGCAACAGCCAATTGTTGCTTGTCGATAAATTCCAAGTCGATAAAAAGTGCTTCTACATTTACGATTTTAAATTGGAATTTTACGACGTATAACGCCAAATTTTCCCGTGAATCCACGACCAATTTACACAGTGACAGTTTTATAAGCCGATTCACTTTTAAGGCCATGTATCGTCAACTTTTAAACGTGTAGCTGTAGGATCCTCGTATTAATGGTATTGAATCATCCTATTCGAACTTAATCCTTGTACGATTCCGGTACTTGAATGAAAATCGTAATTTTTTCCCACTACTAGGGACGAGTGGGTTCCGGCCGGCCTCACCCATCGGCATGGCCCGGCCTGCCTCCCGCAGCGCAACAGAGCGTCGCCGCCGCCTCCACTGTTCGCTGGGCTGTTGTCGGTTCGATGTCGCGCGGCGCGGACAGCAGCGGCGGCAGCGCCACCAGCAACTTTTAATTGACCTACATTCACATGAAAACTCTGTGTCGCGAACCGACAGACAAACGGACGGACGGGCAGATAGCGCGCCGGCTCGGCCCGCATGTCCCTGCGTTGCGTCCCCCCACGGGAGTGCACCGCCCACCCC